CGAAAATAGTTCACAGCAATGGAAATCGATGCATTATTCATAGACTTGTATGGAACACAATTGGCGGAACATTGGCGAAACATTCATTTGGCACATAAATTAACAAGCAAATGCAACAATCGACGTTTTGTATTGGCGGCATGGTTTTGTTTCAATTTTTACTAGACTATTCTCACTCACTCTTTTTCTCATCCTAAGTAAGTAAATATTTTATTAGCGATTTATCGTGTTTCGACAAGTGAAAAAAACAACAACAACAACTCAACAGTCAGAGAGATCTAAGAAAGAATTTAATTGTGATAAAATGCGAAAGACCTCGCCGTGAAAAGAAATAAAAGAAAACTGCGCGTACACATTTATTGAAAAGCAAATAAAAATAATGTGAACAGACGGAGGTTATGTGCTCTCGAAAGCGTCATTATTCATAAGACTTTATAATGTATGACCGCTCAATGAATGGCGGAAAAGAAAATCTCGTTAGAGAATGCCAAAGAAAGACAACACACAACATACATATATGTATACAATAAATGAATGAATTAAGCAGAAACTTCAAAACGAATCTGAAGTAAATTCGCAATTGTAAAGCACAAGTACGCACTAATACCCATTCTCATTCTCATATGTACGCATACCGTAAGCAGTAAACAGAAGCGGAGCAAGAGCCTCTTAGCTGATTGAGAGAAGTACAAAACAAATAGCAAACAACAAAAATGCGCGCGCGCGCGCCTCACACACAAAACAAAATCTAAACAGCAGGAAAACAGATACAGAATTTTAAATCAAAATGGAAAATATAGCAATAATTACAACATTCAATGTCACTTGAGCTTGAAGTATGACACACTCACAAAAGGCTTAACGTGTGTAATTCTAGTGAGTGTGAGAAGAGAGCAGAAAAAAAATAATCAATACCGTTGCTTGCCCTTGAAAAACCATAAGAATCATGAACGACGGAAAGGTCACCACCAATCTCGAAATGTGCGGAATTCCGTTGCACGTATTTGTTTGCTTCTTGATGGTGCTATTTGCAGTTCGTCTTTTCAACCGTAGTGTGTATATATGTGTATATATATGTGTGTGTGTGTGTGTGTGTGTGTGTCGAGACTGCAATTTCTCTCATTTCTATCCGAACCATTTTTTTCTTCAATGTGGCACAAGATGCAAACGGCATAGATATCTGCGAAATGGAAACACTGAACTGCTCACAACAGATTCAGTGGGTAATCGATTAAAATACCAAAGAGTTGTCGGAACCGTTCGAGGTTCAGCAATCAATTGTTATTTGGTGGACAGTGCGTTTGATTATGGCTCCTTTTTCTGTTGAATTTTCATTGCAATCCTTTCGAGTGATTTGATATTGATATTTTCCAATGTCACTAGCTCACTCGAATCAGTTCTTTGTATTGATAACATTATTATTGATTTTTTTCCTTCTCGTCATTCTACAATTACTATTTGAGTGCACAAAATCAATGACAATGTGTTCTCAAATATTTCGCCAAATATTGTGACCGATTTTATAAATTTTAATTCATTCGTGAGTTCCGCATAACGTAAGTGTCATGGCGCCAACGTCAGCTTTCACTCGCTAAGCTCTTTCACTTCAGCTGCATGTGCAGACCATTTGGATTTTAATTAAACGAATAGAGAAAAACAAGTAAAGCCGTCATCCATCTCTGTTGTCCCATTTTAAATATTTGTCGTTAAGAAGATAGTTTATCAGCAGTTGTCCTTCAGTTCTCTATGATTTGTATGAGTGTATTTGACCAAGCCATGTGTTTTCGATGCGACATTCACGCCAGCTCATAAGGACGGCGGAAAATATGGACAAGGGCATACGACAAAAATGCTCTCTCTCTCCACCTCGCCCGCTTGCTCTCTTTTACTCAAGTTTTTGGCTATTTTCAATGGTTACAATCGTCTAGAATTTTCGTGAAAATGAAATCATGCTCTCGCCCGCGTTTTCAGAATATAAAGTTGGTGTGACCTATGATTTGATCTCGTTTAGCTGCGTCATTCATCCAATACACAGGTTTATGCCATCCATTGTTTTGGCCTTTCAGCTGGTCGCGTCGACATTCAAATGTTACCGTGTTTGTGTATGTATGATAATGTCAAGCGCGATTAATTATTATTTGCATACAGTATTTTTTCTACTATTAGTGAATTGCGTTGCTTTCGTTTCACCTCATATTTGACTCTAGCTTTCCACATCCATTGTTATCATTCATATATTCCGTTTGGATATTGACCACTGCTCAACACATTTCATTCCACAAAACCAATAATAACAACCATAACAGACACACAAAAAAAATGTTCTGTTGATTTTTCCCATTAACAATTCCATTCGGAATCCAATTTATCCGCAAGCACCGTAATTATCGAAGGTTTGATTTGCCAATATAGAATGATTTATTTTTAATGAAAGCAACAGTCGATGGTGATGTTAGTGGCGGGAGAACAAGTCAGCAGCAACAGCAGTAGCAGCAGCAGCAACAGCAAAAAAAAAACAAGTAGAAAATGGGATAAAAATAGATGCGATTCGGTGCGAAATCATGTCTAAAACTTGTTCGCCAATTAGAAATTGTTAAATCACGCCAATCGCTGTATTTTTTTTTCGAAAGTGAGCCGGAACCTCCATATAAAATTTGTGTTTCATTTTTTTTTCATCTCTCATCCAATTGACAATACATTGTGAGAGTGTGCTCTTTTTTGTTCACGGTTTTTTTTGCGAGCTAACGCGATTTGCAATAATTCGAGTCAACAACAAAAGCATCATCAACATCGTTATTATTGTTATCAGCATCATCGCCGTCTATTTTTTGCGTTCTTTTAGATTCACTGCTTGCGTTTGCTCGCTGTTGCTCTCCACGCGAAATTTTTTCGCCAATATATCTCACTCCCTCTTTCTCTCCCCATCTCGCTCTTTCTCTAGCTTTTTTTCCATGATGTTGCGACAACTGACAACTCTTGGGCCGTGTTACAAGCTCTTTCTCAAAATATGAAATCGATAATTGCGCACTTTGAATGATTTCGGTGGTGGATGAGAGCGAGAAAAGAGTATTATATTCAACCGAATGGAATTAATCGATAGCCGTTTCAAGAGTACGAGTCATCAATTTGACCGTTGGCTGTAGACAACACATTTCTTCGATGAAAAGTTCAGGCAATTTATTTTGCACGAAATTAGCCTGTGTATGTGTTTGTGTGTGATGTGAGTGGCAATGTACGCAGTCCCTTTCGTATGCACTTGTTGATAAACAACAATCAGAAAATAGAAGGAACAAAGAACAAAAAAAAACACCATGCGGCCAAATAGTTTGAGCTTCACGAGTGGGTGCATTTAAGATCAATAAATAAATGAACGAATACTTTATTAAATATGACTCTGGTGGGATTTTGCACAGAATATCAAACAAACAGTTTCAAGAGAGATCATCGATCTCTCTCTCTCTCTCTCTCTCTCCCCTTCTCTCGGAGATGCAAAAATATTTACGACGTGATTATTTTCATGCCAAATAACACACGGTAATTTATGATGATGAATCGTATATTCGAAACATTCGCTGACCACATGAGTATCTCTTGTATATCGTTTTCTATATTTTATTTTATTTAACACCGCCAAGCTCTATCAAATTTTGAATCCAATTGGACCACGGTTTGAATTTGTTCTTCTAGTTACTGCGCTTCAAATCAATTAACTCTTCAACATAAACAACGTCTTTTCCCAGCAAATGTTGTCTCTCAATCTATGGCTCGCATCCAATTTGCTTACTCAACTGGTGAGTTTTCATGATTAGCGAGACTCGATTGCCGTAGCTGGTTTGCAATTTATGTGATGTTTTGTTGTTGTTTGTTATACGTTCCTGTCCGTTTACATGAGGCAAAATGTGCTTATTATGGAAGTTTTTGTAGAAATTTCCGGTTATATCTACAAGGAAATATGAATATGAATATCGATTTGGTTGTATGTGTGTTTGTGTACGGATCCGGTTCTATTGCATACCACGACCAATATACGACTTTTTGACATATTGCAATCTATCTGCATTTTTAATGCGTCCTTTTATGTTTCGAAAGCAAAATATGAGTAAAAAAGGAATCTAACTCAATTAAGCCGAACAACCGCACAAAACGAAACAGAAATGGTGTTGGATAGAAATAATTAAAAAGAACAAAAGAAATAGTAGCAATGACAACAAAACGCGCCAACAATAACAGCAACAATCCAATCGCGCAACAAAGCAATCGATATGTAAATTGTATGTGAATAATTTGTTTTCAACGGTTTGCAATTAAAATAATTTATTGATTTTGCCGAAGCAAATACGGAGGACTGAGCAAGAAAGCGAATACGGATTTAACGCATAACGCGGTCATGCCATATTATTTGAAGGTGTCAGTGAAATATTTCAGCATAGCAAATAGTAAAGTAATCGCACCATAGATTTCATATTCGATGACAGGCCCGAACGATATCAAAACGATAATAGCAAAGGAGAAAATGTGCCAATCGAACGGTTTGAGCGATGAAAATAAGTACACATTGCGAACAGAATTCAAATGGTTGGCCTCCATTTTGCTTGAAAATATATCCATAGACGTACACGTTTCATTGATCCCACGTTCATCAGGAGCATATTTTATTTCCCAATTTAATCTGGCTGGCAACAAACACATCGCTGTTTTCAATGTCAAGACAAACAAAACAAAAAGAAACATCAATGCAACGTGAATGAAGGTGAATACCGTTATTATCCTAGCTCGACCTCATTCCGCGCATCATTAACAAGAAAAATGCTTTAACATCGTCTCCATAGACTGTATTTTTTTCTATTATCATGAAGGTAAAAGGCTTCAATACAAAATTATTCCGCCAAACAGGAAAACGACAATGATAATTGCCTTATTTTGTCATTTTTATTCGCAGAATGTTAAAGGAGAAATATTAGCATGTAGTTGATAAATAGGAAATATAGCGGAGACAGTACCTGGCTTCATTGATGTTCGATGACACAAGCATCTGATTTTCTTTCAAATGTGTGTGACGAAACGTTGTTCGGAGAAAATGCAAATGAACAGCCTTTTGTGAAACACACCACAGAAACACTCAATCGCAGTTAGTTTTTCTTCTTCTTCTTCTTCTTCTTCTTCTTCTTTTTAGTTTACTATTTACTTTTTTTTGTTTGGTATATAGAAACCTTTTTTATCAAACTTTTTTCTGTTGCTCTTTTTTTTCGATTTTCTTCATTCAGTTTATTCAGTCCGTTTTACACAGCACTCACTTTTTTTTCCGTACGAGTTTAGGGTACAGAAAAACCAACAACTCGAGAAATATTCACAATTTGTTTGTTTCCGTGAGTCACAAATATCAATATTATCATTGGATTGGTCGTAATTTTTGTTTTATTGCTGCCAACAAAACTCAATATTAAGATAGTGAAAAAACGCACCGTGTTTGTACTTCTTTTTTTTACTCTACACCGTCATTTGTCGTATGTTTCTGCGGTTGGTCTGAAAATGGAAATACATTCAATAAATTATTGATTGGTCGATCAATGGGCATGAAACGGAAAAATGAACAAATTAAAAACATTGTTTATCGAATACAGAGAGATCGATCTGGATTCACGTCAAAATACAACAATGTTCGATTCATTTCGCTAGTACAAGGGAATCAAACTCATGTCAATAGGCAGCCGAAAAAAATGGTGATTAATAGAAAAAATTAGCTAGTAATTAGCAGATAGTAAATAGTAATTAGCTCAGTGATTGGTGGTAATTTTTACGGTATTTTCGAATTGAGATTTTTCAACAAAAAATAATTCTCGCTAAAGCTTATCAAATGTGAATCTCAATTCTCTCAATTTTTCAGAACAAATCGCAATTTTGATCGCAAATCAAAAATCGCTTGACTCTGCTTAAATAAAAAACAAACAAACCGAAAATCCAAACACGTTGGAAAAGAATGGGAACGTTAATGCAATCTCAAATTTCAAAACAACAAAGATAATTTCCTCCACGTGGTTAATTTTGGCTCTATTAATTAAATACAAAAATTGCCTATGATTTGGGACATATTAAAATACTGATTGTCTATATCAAATGAATATCGACTATTATATGTAAGATTAATTGTAGTAGTTGAAATTGAAGTTATTTCACTGAGTTATTCCGATGTGCATAGTTTCTCCGGCTGTATTTTTACTTTTGCAATCATGCTTCACACGCAAAACAAACCGTAGTTTTGTTCGAAGGCATTTATTTAAACGATGTACGTTTATCGACGACGTCAATCGGCATTTCAGATGAGTTACGTATTATGCACAACGAATTTTCTCTCTATCAGTATTCTTTTTCCTTTTCCGTAATAATCGTGTGTTTCGGTTTTTCATTCGTTTTATGACGCTTTGTTTTCTTTTTTTGTTGCATTCCGTACCACACTCACAGCAGCACTTATTTTCTTTGCTTGTCATATTCAATAAATTTAGATTCGATATCATCAATACATGACTATTGAGTGGTGGCATTTTATTTGTGTAATTGGTTTTATCACAAAATTTGCTATCGACCAAGCGCTACTGACTGATTGGCATTTGTTCACTTTTTTATATTTGCTGTCACCGCTACCGTCAGCATCGTCGTCGTCATCATCATCGCTGTTGCTGTTGTTTTTACTGTTGCCACGCTTACATATCTTGATTATTTCAATAAATTTCGAAGGGTTCGATTGGTTTGGTTATTGTATGATACACGTGACAAAAAAAACTATGAGTCGCGTATGGATACAGCTGTGTCAATGTAAACACCAATTCGAAGTCCTTTAATTAGATTTTCATAAGGCATTCGCTTCGAATGGCATCAATCGATTTAGCTGTATTATCTTTCGTTTTGTATCATATTGAAGAAAACCAAAAAATATGGTTGCCATTTGGTTTTTGTTTGTTGATTGGTTAATATCTAGCGACAATTGTCTGTTTGCATGATGACCTTTCGAAACTTAATATAATATAGATATATCAGGTATGGCTTATGTATTGTGAATGCGAATGCGTTTTCATTTTTCTATTTTTTCCCTACCTTGCTCTCGTGCACAGCACGGTTCATGTTATGGCGAACGGCGTGTGTCTGTGTCTTTCGGTGTGCGTGTGTGTGCGTGCGTGTGTGTGTGTGTGTGTGTGTGTGTGTTAATATCATTATTTTAGGCCGTTTGATTGTAGAGTGTCGCACAGTGTGGAATCTGTATTACGAGAGCGATAATAATTATTCGAGCTGAACGATAAACAAGATTCCCAAGTTCATACATTATATATATACAAATATAATGTCGTTTTTTTCTCTTTTTTTCATATTTTCTTTTTACACTTTGTGCGCAGCTTTTGCTTCATTACAAGAAAATGTATTAGCAACAAGACAATATTTGAAATATTTCTCTCTCTCTCTATCTCTATCGCTCTGTCCATGGGAAATAGCAATGGCCGAAAGTCATCGATTTGTTGGCGTGTTGTGTTATAATTTACACTTCTTTCACCATCATATTGATGGCATCTATGAGCCTGCAACTTGCAACCAAACCAAACCAAACCAAACCAAATCACATAACACAGTTATTATTCGCATGCTGAATATCCATATGCATTGTAGAGCCAACCAGACACATAGAAATGATTTCGATGAAACAAAAAGACGCAACACAGGGCACAACACGAGCAAGCTCACGTTAATGAATAAAAGCAGCAACAGTAACACCTAACACAGAGATTACATACGGCAAATAACATCGTTTGTTATTGTTGTAACGCTGAAAGCGCGCGCACTTTTTTTGTGTTGTTTCTTCAAACGATTTTTTTTTGTTCACTCGCTCATTTTTTTTTCATTCGTTTTGCTCAATTCGTTTCGAGTTTGATGAAATTTTTGCAGCCTAACATCGGGTCGGAGCATATATACAATGCTCTGTGTGTTATTATGATCAATTAGGTCTATGAACGACGACGGCGTGTTTGTATATGGACTCGGTTAAATATGTGTAATTTCTATTTGTTAGTAAGGGCAATTGGCGTATGTTGCTATAATGCGTGTGCATTACGTTGAGTGCTTTTGTTATTGTTGCTGTTACTGTTGTTGTTGTTGTTGTCGCCGCTGCTATGTTGTGGTCGTTGTTGCCGTGTTACTACTGATGATGTAGTTGTTCGCTGTGTCGTAAAATGCGGATATGTAAAGTAATATCTGCGAGATACGCCACAATGATGTACATGTACACTGCAGTACATCCGCCAATACATGGACACACTCGAGACGCTCGTATTGTCTGCATTCACAACATCATTCTCTTCATCATTTTTTTTTTGTTGTCGTCGTCGTCGTCGTCGTTGTTGTTGTTGCTGTCTGCAACTCACACAGCTAAATACTACGAAAATTCATAAACTGCCTATAAAATGGCCCCACAAATGCACATCCAGCTGAACGCCAATAGAAATGGCAAACAAATCATCACAACATACGATTTTGTATTACATGTATACATTTTATTCGAAATGTTCAAGTGTATATCTATGCATGTATGACGACTGGATCAAACTATATACAAACACCTTTCACTTTGGTATAGCCATTTTCATCGTAAACCGTGGGCATAAGCATATGCATTATGCATGCATCGCGTTTTCTTTTTGTGCCGCCATATCAATGAACCAGACAATTCATGCCGCATGTTTGATTTACGTTCATTGCGCGCGGCACACACACAGAGAAGAAGAAAGAGAGAACCAATAAATGTGCTTCCAGAGGAAAAAATAAAATAAAAGCCTCAATCAGATTCAGTTGACAGTGCGATAATGGTCATATCACTCTGCTGAGTCAGTGGAAATAGTAGATAGCACACAAACAACAAAACATTCAGCATTTTGTCGAATTGCTAATTGATTAGCTGCGAAACCTCAAGAGGGATAGAGATAAAGAGAAGCACAGAGAGAAGCGCGAATCGAGTGGAATTAATCCTTTGGTTTTTACTAGTCAACTTGTCCGGCTAGACTTAGCGTGCAAATATGTAAAAAAAAACACGAGCACTCCTCGCGTTCTCTCTCTCTCTCTCTCTCCCTCTCCCTCTCTCTCTCTCATTCTCTGCGTTTACAGGACTTTGGTCATTACTGGTTTAGATGATTATGCTCAATTGTTGCAACAAAAAACAAAGTTGCCACAGCTTACATTGTGCCTCGTTGCTTATCGTTGTACGAATAATATGTACACAAGGCACACGAGTTGGGAAGTTTATAGTATACACTCACACGATTGAGCCGCGGACCTAGATCAAATTTTGAACGAATGATAAAATACCAGTATCTACAACTATACGACTATGGAAGAGAGCTGCATAAAATTGAAGAGAGAAAAAAACAAGAGCTACCAACGAGGAAATTGGTATATTTATGTACATAAAAGACGATGTGTGTTGCCTGAGATGCAATTCTATGTGTCTGATTGAAGGAAATATTCACTACTGTTTGCCAATATTGTGTGTATATTTTTTTTAATACATGTTTTCTTGTTTTTCTCATTCATTCTTATGGTTGATTCGATGGGAAACATCAAAACACATACACATGCGCATCCAATACAAGCAGCTGTACTCCGAACGATTCAATGGCATGTTGGTGCCAATGGCAGATACATCCAATAGAGTTCTCTGTGTGATGTGTTGAGTTGTGTTGTGTATTTTTCCTTTCAGGTCGTATATACTCACTCTTTCTCTATTCCACACACACATGAATATAAAAATATACACAGTCACAAGTACGCGTACATGCACATGACGTGAATCAAATCAAAATAAAATACACGAAAAATAAAACCAAATTCAAAGCAAAAATTGTAGGAAAACACTTCAAAAATCATAGTGTTTTATCATTCTGTTCAATTTAAGCGCGTTTGACTTGACGTTCGCCGCCTTGGAATTTGTCATTTTGCACTCATTTACTATATATTTTTTGATTTGTTTCCAATCTTTGGTTTACTTTGATAATTTTGTCATCCAATTTTATTTGGCCGAGTTGAAATTCATCAATGGGCGACTTTCTTTCACAGACATATTCCTATTATTTCCCATCTTTTTGTTCCTCTCTCTGTCTCTTCAAATACGTTAATGCGAATGACTAGTGACGGATCGAGGCGTTTCCGCGTTACCACATTTCATACAATTTTCAACAATTTGAACAAGAACACAAATCAAATTGAGTTGAAACGTATCGAACGTCAACTCATGACGGATATCGGATGTAGTTCCTATCTCGTAATGCCTATGAAATAACCAAAACAACGAACATGTCGTAAATATAGATATCGAAACCACACGACGGGCGTGCACATTACCCCATCACTATAATTCCACACAATGTTCGTTCGTGTACATTTTGGTGGATGCGAAGCAAATAAAAAAAAACAAACAAACAAAAAATAATATGGTTGTTCAAATAGAAATCGATAACAACAATCACCTTTTTTAAGATTTCTGTTTTGTAAACGCATTCCATGAACAACTATTTTCTATTCCATATCATTTGCACATACATACACTACACTTCATTTGTTTTACGAGACACACACAAAAAAAAACGCACTGAATTCTCTCTTTCTCTTCGGTCAACAATATAAGTCTCTGTTATTTTCAAATGTTCACTACTTTTAACTCATTTGAAATGTCGTGATTGTTTGTTGATGCTGTGTATACACTTTTTCCCTTGTTTTCCTTTTTTGTCAACTACTTTGTTTCTATTCTCTTCTCTTTTTTTCTCTTTTTCTCTCTCTCGCTCTCATACACTCTAACGCTCTTTTGCACAATATATTCGGCGTACACTTCAAAAACCAACTCGAAAAACGTGAGAAAATGATTCGCGTACACTATGTTTCGAATTTAGTCCGTAAGAGCGTGCTTACTAAACACTGTGTACACTTTTCGCTTGCATTTTACGATGATTTGGTGAGCATCGTAAAAAACCTCGTTACACTTCGAATGATTTGACTCGACTGGTTTCGATGTTGTGTTTATTCAATTGGATTTCGTCGTCGTCGCCGCTTTGCTGCTGCTGCTGCTGCTGCGAAACGAAATATGTGTTGTCATGTTATACTGTGCTTTGGCGTGCACTGCTATATTATACACTGTATAGTAAGAGAGCCGTTTTGCTGTCAGTTGCTCGTTTTTGCTATTTGGCTGTACTACTACTACTACTTCTGTTTCTGTTGTTGTTGTTCCTTTCTTCAGCGCGCGCATTAACTCTGCGGCTCCAAGTCTCTCATCATCAGGCATTACGGTTTTCCTATTACAGCACTACTGCGCGAATGTTATCTCTCGCTCGGTTAAATGGGATTTTGCTGTACCGTTGTATAGGTATTATAGCTTAATGTGTCGCGCTTGCTGTATGTATGTGTGTGTGTGCTAATGATATTGCGTTTTTAAGTCTCTATACAAAACCAAGCCGAGCCTTGCCGTTTGCACCGTATGTTTTTCTTTTTTTTACGTCTCTCAATATTCACGTGTTAAACGGTAACGGCCCAAACGTAACTAGCCCTATGTGCTCAATGTCTTGGTATGAGATTGGCATACGGTGCGAGACAATACCTCAATACCGAACAAACAGCCACACAAAACGAATGAAAAATACGAGCAAACAATTTCAAAAAAAACAATTTTTTGTCGGAGCAAAGCGCACTCACTGCCACTATATGTACTCGTCAAGTATTTATGGTTTCAGTTGCTGTTTCTTCTTAAACGGTTCATACAAACTATATGGCTGAAGAAGAAAAAAAGTCTTATTCTTGCCGCTTTTGACATATTCCACGATGTTTTCCATGCATGTCGATTTACACTGGTTATCATGTTTATATGTGTGTAGAATGAAGGGATGCGTGACAGTCCCAGAGCCAAAGTAAAGCTTGTGTCAAGCATTGCTACAGTTACAAACCGAACAGTACACTTACCAAACCGAATATAGTGCATGATTGCGCCAAAGTAAGAAAACATTTCTTGTGCAACATGGTAAAATGCTAGCAATTTAAAAATCGATGGATTAATGGCGATACGCTACTTTGGTGCCTCTTAAAATGGACGCATTGCAAAAATAATAAATAAATGATTTGGCTTTATTTCGTTCCATCTCTCTCTCTCTCTCTCTCTCTCTCTCTCTCTCTCTCTCTCTCTCTCT